TACACATTCTTTTCGGAAATTTTCAAAGACATCCGCAAGTAACAATACATCTGTTTTCATATACAAATGTACATAGTCGTATAGATTTTTACAGTCAAACTCGGTCCATACATTTTGCGCATGCGCATACTCGTCATCAGAAATACCGGCGTCATACAGAGTACTATAAAATTTCTCGATCGGGGGCAATTCGGTTTCGTCGAGTTTGCTTTTTGAGTCAAAGTACTCGTAAGGGAATACACCTTTACGCGTTAGTAATTTTATTTTATCAGGATCTGTCACCGTACTGGCAAAAACGGAGTTTACAATTTTATACTCGTCTAGGTACGATGCGAGTTTTTCTAGGGATGCTGCCATGAATCGCAATGAGTCAATGAATCGAAATTTGACCTCACTCCCCTTGACATGTTTAGTAAAAGAGATATACTTCTCTTTGTTAATGGGGAGGAGGTCAATTTTCCCTTCAAAGCTCGTCGAGATCGCGTGAATTATAAAATGGGCGTCATAGCCACTTAGGTTGTGGAACACCACGGGAATTGTTTGACAATCTTGATAGTTTAAATTGCATGATTCATGGGCAGCACCCCTATATTTGCCAGTAAGGTGACAGTGATCGCGGACTTTCTTTTCGCTTGCTAGTATTTTCTCATGACAAATGTGACATATTGTCGCTCGCTTGAAGTCACTGATTTCTTGAGGAGTTAAGGCATTCATTGGTATCGGATTTTTAAATACATTATCAATTTTTTCAGATAATTGCCTTAATTCCTCAGTAAACCATTTAGCAGGATCAGATTCATTTTTCGGGCATGGTACATATTTACATAACGATTCATCGTAGCTGCATTTTATATAATAGCCAATACTCAATAACTTATGGCGCTGGAATACTTCAGTCTTACTTAAATTGTCTACATCTTCATCGGCGGGAAGAAGTAGACTTTCGCAGTCGGCGTAAATTACATACGGTACTTTCTCTTTATTCTTATAATTTTTAAATGTGATCAGACTCTTGTTAGGCGTCGGTAATTTAATTTTACACTCATTCATTTTTTTACAATTTTCGATGTGTGCGTTCAATCTATCTACAGATGAAAAGTAGTGTAAGCATCGGTCACAGATATGTTTTTTACCATTTTTAGCCGATAATTGTTTCGATACAAGGCGTGACAAATCCTTAATCCATACATAATGGAAGTTTATAAAATTATCGTTGTCATACAATACATTATCATCATCACTTTCATCCGCATACATGTCGGCAACATACAAGAGATTTACATGCTTATCTCTTTTTTCTGTAGTAAGGTGAAGAGGATGTGTTGAGAAGTCCCCATAGTATTTTGATAAACCATAGACATTAATTGAAATATCATTTAATTTTTCAAATTTCGGGACATTTTTAAGCGTCACTGAAAATTCAATTCCGTCAAAGTTCAATTCATCTTTAAATTCTTTATAACTGGTAACGCGCTCAGGATGTGATACATTTGGATGTAGGGCTGACAATACTGCCCACTTGAAACATTGATTATCTTTATTTTCAACATTAATGCATGCATGCTTGTTTTTTATTTGTGGAGGTAAACCGATGTAAGAGCTTGCACGCATTGGATTATATTTATTTACATTTATTTCAAGCCTTATAATCGATTGAAGGTTCCAATTCGAACCCTTTGCATAGAACTCTTCGACGCTGTGCAAAATCGGATGTTTGATGTTCTCATCAAACCAATCGTCTAAAAGGGTTGTGGGAAAGATGCTGTTGGCCTTGGTTCCAAAAGGAATAGGCTTAACAACCTCCACATCATTCTCAACCCTCTTAAAATTGGCGATGAGAACACCATACACTACAATAGGTCCATTTTTATTTAAGGCACCTCTAATGTGGTCCTGAAACAGTATGGACGCGTCGTTTAAAAACGAGCTTACGTCGACGTGTACTAGGTTCAAGACCATATTAGTGTACAGTCTACACGCGAAAGCACTCTCACACTCTGCCCAGCGAACACGTTTCTTAATGTCTGGGTCACCGATCCCAGCGCCATCTATTACGTGGGATTCAAACAATGCGTGAAACCTTATGATGGATTGTAGAATGCTCACACATCTTTGCTTTTGATGTGTAAAGTACATCGATTTAAGAATGCTCGATAACACGTTTTCATGTTGTGAGCATTCTACAACCCATCGTTCGATAAAAGAGCGTCTCTCATTTACGTTACTTAAATAAGGTATCAACTCAAGGGCTTCTTCAATGAGAGTAACAGTGATGTCACTCTCGTCGAGAATAGTACCGTAATTCGGATACTTACGTGGTGGTCCATCGGTGGTCGTCGCCTTCCGCTTCATCTCTGCACCTGAAATTAAAAGAAACACACTTACAAGCTAACACACTTACAAACTAAACAGAACACACTTACAAGCTAACAAAAGAACGAACTTACAAACTAACAAAAGAACACACTTACAAACTAAAATACTTATACTAAACAAAACGAACTTACAAACTAAAGAACTTAACCTAAAAATCAATACAAAGTAAATGCAATAAACACAGAACACAGTAAATATAAATAACAAAAAAGACGGTAAATATAACAATAAATGTAACAAAAAAGACAGTAAATATAACAAAAAAGACAGTTAGTAGTGGCAATGGGAATCTGCTGCTGCTGCTGTTGGAACCGCTGAACCTGTGAACAGAACAGCTACTGACTAAACTCGTTAAAATCCCTGAATATATACCCCGAAATCCCCACTCCTACCTTTCACGCATGCGCACTAGACCATTTACCCCCACTCCAACCTTTCACGCATGCGCACTAGACCATTTACCCCCACTCCAACCTTTCACGCATGCGCACTAGACCATTTACCCCCCACTCCAACCTTTCATGCACCCCCACTCTTAAATTTTCCCCCACCAATTCGCGCATGCGCAGAATAAATACATACTTTATTAATATTATTATGAATATTAACATTAACTATAATACGCCTAGTGGCACGCTGGTGATGACGGTGACGTCTCTGCGCCCGGGGTAGCGGTAGTGTCGTCTCCACCCTGGGCTCAAGAAAATGCGTCCTGGCCTTTGTCCTCTCCACCCTGGGCTCTGGTGATGGAAGTTGCCTTGGTGAAGTCGTCAGAAATAGCACCTCGTTACCTTCATCCTGCAACTAATGAATTTATAATATATTAATTATATTATATTTTACTATATTATATTAATTATATTATATTTTACTATATTTTATCAATTATATTATATTTTACTATATTATATTAATTATATTATATTTTACTATATTTCATTAATTATATTATATTATATTACTTACGTTATACTCCGACACCATCCTCACGACGCAGTGGTAGCACCGGCAGCTTGTTTCCATGGTGGACTGCTAACTCCACTGCTATGAGCTGAATGAGCTCTCTGCCGTGGACCAGCTACCTCGTAGGGCACTCTCCCCACCAAGCGGTTCCCCCACTACGCGCTCGACACTCAGTGTAGCGTGTGGCGGTTGACTTGAACTACTGTGAGCTCACCGCTGGTAACGCGCGAAATTCAATTTGAATTCAAAACGCTTATTGTAGTTTTAAGTAATAATTTCACTTACCTTAATTATAAATTGTTTATAATTAATAAAATAATAATAATAGTAATAATAATAATATTAATAAATAAGAAGTTAATTAAACTTACCTTACTTAAATAAATAAATAGTTTTAAGAATAAATAAATATTAATTATAAACATTTGATTATTATTTATATACAATACATAAATATTAATTATAAACAATTAGTTATTTTATATATATATAATAAACAAATATTTACAAATAATATTTTATAAATAACAATTAAACTTATCTTCATTTATAAAAATTCAGTCGCGCCATCTATCGGTGGTAGCCGGAACTACACCCTGTCGGTAAAACAGAGCACCCCTTCTAACCCACTTGAAAGTTTAAAAATTTAAATTTCCCGCCAAGAGGGTTTGGAATTCGCTAGTGGCGCTATCTATCGGTTGATCGTTGAACCCTGTCGGTAAAACAGAGCGCCCCTTTAACCCACTTAAAACTATGAAAATAAAAATTTAAATTACCCGCCAAACTGATTAGAATTTGCTGGTGGCGCCATCTAGCGGTGGCGGCCGGAACTAAAAAAAATCGGTCGGTAAAACAGAGAACCCCTTCTAACCCACTTGAAAGTTTAAAAATTTAAATTTCCCGCCAAGAGGGTTTGGAATTCGCTAGTGGCGCTATCTATCGGTTGATCGTTGAACCCTGTCGGTAAAACAGAGCGCCCCTTTAACCCACTTAAAACTATGAAAATAAAAATTTAAATTACCCGCCAAACTGATTAGAATTTGCTGGTGGCGCCATCTAGCGGTGGCGGCCGGAACTAAAAAAAATCGGTCGGTAAAACAGAGAACCCTTTCTAAGCCACTTGAAAGTTTAAAAATAAAAATTTAAATATCCCGCCATAGGGGTTTGAATTCGCTGGTGGCGCCATCTAGCGGTTTAACTTCAAACTAACTCAGTCGGTAAAACAGATCCATACCTTATCGGTTGAGTCAAAATTGCTGTCAGATCCTACCTTACCGACTGCTGATAAAGTAGAAATCTGCATTACCGACTGAGGGTACTTAGCCGAGATCAGAACCTGGGGCAGAACTCTCCTAGCTATACTACTAAGGTGAGATTTTTTCGGTATTTTTTGCGATTCTGGACGCCATATTGGATTCTGAAAGAGCTGACCTAAATACCCCGTAGTACGAAACCATTTTCAAAAGTTCAATCGTTTTAGATAAAAATTCTTACCTTGAACTTCAGTAAAATATTTTGGACATTTGGGCGTTAATAGGTTAAGAAGAATTAAAATAAATACCTTAATCATAAGACCAATGAAAATGAATAGAATTAATCTTAAAAATGTGAGTGAATGATAATTAAAAAAGTAAAATGTGAAAAAGTGTGATTTAAATTACCTCAAGATCGGCACCGGCCAGACAGGCGGATCTCAAATCACAGTTTTTTAATATTGCGTTTTTAAGTGTCGCCACTCGTAAATTAACAGCTGCCATATTGCTGCCCTCTAAGTTTGCTCCTTTTAGATTAACACCTTCCATAATAGCAGGCAATCCACCGGGATCCTCGAAATTACAGGAATGCAGATTCGCCGCCTCCAAATTAGCGCATAACATCTTCACACAAACCAATTGCGCACCTTCCAGATTTGCATTCGATAAATCAGCTCGTTCTAAACAGCATCCTGACAAGTTGGCCCCCTCCAGGTTAGAACAATGCAAATTGGCGTACTGCCATTACAAAACTGATTTATTAATTGTAAATTATTACTCACTTCTAAATTATATTGCACTTTAAATTACCAAAATTAAAGAACTTTCATTAAACTACATTAAATTTAAATAAAAAGAATTCATAATTGAAGAATTAGGAATTTTTGTACAAAAAAATTTCCTTTTCTTGCAAGATGTTTCTGCACATTTACTATTTCAATTCAAAGAGAAAACAAATGCTTCATTGCAGTGAAGTTATTTAGTTAAATATTCCTCATTTTTCAGAGTCGTTACGAACTTTTTAATTTGAACTCTAGTTACTTAAATTGAGTAGCTACATGCAACAACTCGCCAAGCGCATGAACGCACGCGTTTATACCAGTCGAGTGAGAGCGAATGACCCAGAAGCACTCACTGCTACTTGACTGATATTAGAGTTCGTTCGCGTGCTCAGTGAGCACCCCGACATTTCAACAATAAAATTGAGTATAGTTACTCAATTGTTGAAGTGAATAACCACTTTGAGTCAATACAAATAAAAATATTTCTTCAGTGAATAATTAATTTTACTCTTTTTGCATAATGATCGCACAATAAGCCCAAAATTGCCAAAATAATGCTTTTTTTAATAACTTCACTAATAAAACTTCATTTTTAAATTGTGTACACTACTCTTAATTACTACAAAGCAACATTTCTATATTTTAGACATCACAGAACAAGAACATCACAATAACTTTTAAACGAATGTCGATCCACTTTTTTTGAATTGTTACTCAATATAACTTGTTTTATTATTATTATGTTTTATAATTTAGAAATACTGTAATAAATATTAGAGGTGTGCAAAAAGTTGAAGCTCGATTGAGTATTTTCGAGCCGAGCCTGGATACCTCAATAATATTAATGTAAATACATTACATTAAAAGTAATATAGTTGTAGGGGAAACCGGGCGTAATGGCTAACTTTTCTCTTTTTGTTGTTTTACCCGGACATTTTTGTTTTAATTAAATGTTTATCTCTCAGAAAAGTTACTCTGGAATGTCTCAACTTTCTTTTGAAAAAACAAACGTCTCGATATGACTCTTACTTACGAGTACTCGATTGGATTCGAGTTTTTAAATTACGAAAAAATGATTAATAAGTAGAAAATTTCGAATTTTTGCGATATATTGAATTAATAAAGTAAATAAGTCTTCAATTTCAAACTGTATTTCAATTTACTAATTATAATATATGCGACGAGTATTTGAATTTTCTCTAGAACTCGAAATTACTCAAGAGCTCGAAAATATTCAAGCTTTTTATACAGCTCGGCTCGACCTCGGACTGATTAGCTCTTTTAGTCGCATAATTATAAGCATAATCGTATCTAATTAAAGCGCATAATTAAAGGGACTCAAAATGCATAATCTATTTTTCTCTATGGATGATTTTCAATAAAACGTTTACGTCGTGGCGATTACTAATAAATTACTAATTGGCAATTGGGTAAAATTATGTCTATTACCAGTCGTTACAACGTAAAAACTTTCTTAAAAATAATTATTAAGTTTTGTTAGAACTAATATTCTATTCTTTATAATATGCTAAGGTAGGAAAAATTAAAATAGTTTACCTTAAAGTTGATATTTCTTAAGTCCAATCTGGAAAGATCAGCACCAACCAAATTAACACCTTGAAATCGTAATTCTGAAGAAATTGGTGTTGACATTATTGATTTTAATACATCGCGTCGTGTGAGAGAAGATGTTTCCAGTTTTCGTTTTTGTTCTTCAACTGCCATTTCTTCTAAAATACTAACTGCACCTTCGATTCCATAAAACCGAGCTTCTTCTAAAACTCCTTTAAAGAGAAATAAATATTGTATATCGTTAAATCAAATTTACTTATAGGTTTTGAGGGGAACGCGGAGATATTGTGAGGAGAAGAGTGCTGGGCGGTGGGGCTTATCGCTTAGTTTGGGGGGTTTTATTCGTGGGAATAATGATATGGGCCCTTTAAGCCGTTTTTCCACACTTTCCGTTGTGGGATCAAGAACATTTTTTAGCCGCTTCTCTGCGTGTCTCCGACAGCCCAGAGGTAAGAATTTTGAGTGTTAAAATAATTCGGAAAATATATTCTTTTTTTATTGATTTCTTCATTAAAATTATTGTAACTTCTTTTAAAAAAACATAAATTTTCGTCATTTTTTTACATTGACTTTTTCCTTGCCAAAATATAACTTTGTTACATTCTGGAGCCCGAACAGGGACCAGTCGCGTGCCCACCTTTTTATGAATTATAAAATGTTTAAAAAAATAATGCCTGTTTTGAAATGTCTATTTAAATATTGATGATAGAAGCAAAGATAGGATCGAAACAATAAATGATACATAACAATTAATAGACGAAGTTTGTGAATTGCGAATTATTACTCAGAAACAAAGTTTGGAAATCGTAATCAATATAAAAATTAAATGTGAATAAATAAATGATTATAACAAGATATTTATCGAAAATGTAATTATAATGTTTTTATTATTGTTTTTACGAGTATTTACAAAATCGCTTTTTAGAGGTTAGAAATTTATTTTCACCTCAATTTATTATTACGTTCACCAGTTTTCTAAGTTATGAAATATTTCTGTGCAAATTTTTTGACATTGAAAAATATATATTTTGTGTAACACATAAATTACAAATGAATATATTATTTTCTTATTCCTATGTATTTATATATTTCAGAATCGAGTATTATTTTCTGCAAACACAAACATGGAAATTTCAACGTCATTAACTAGAAACTCAAGATCAGAAAACAGTTCGGATGAGGAATATGTGCCCCGTAAAAAAACAAAATTGACAGATTTTTTTCACACTCAACATGAAAAAAGTGATGAAATCCCGACGGTAAATAATAATTTAAGTGCAGTGATACAAGATCAGGATAAAACTTCTGCTTCAAATTCTTTTCGAAGTGATAAACCTGAAAATCAATTGAATATAGAGGATCAGAAGAAAATAAATGCACCCACTGCTTTAATTTGGAATTTTTTTTGTCGTGTAGAAAATTCTAAAGAAAAAGCAATGTGTAAAATTTGCTAAACCGAAAGAAGCACTCCGACTGACACAACAACTACTCTAAAAAATCATTTAAAAAGTCATCATACTGACTATAAAGAATTCTTACGATTAACCGAGTTAAAAAAACGTTCAAATAAGTTGAAAATGCAAAAACAAACTACACCAAATTATAAGAATCAAGATATCAAGAAATCTGTCAAATCTAAACAAATGATTTATAGTCCGACTAGCAAACGTCCTAATCAAATTATTGAATCGTTAGCAGTTTTCATGTGTGAAGGACTTCATCCTTATTCTATCGTAGAGGAGCCAGCATTTAAGAGTCTTATTCATCTTCTCGATCCTCGTTTTGTCATTCCTAGTAGAACAACATTTTCCAGATCTGTTGTTCCCAAATTGTACGAAAAACTTAAAAAGAAAATTGTGGAAGATATAAAAATTCTTAAAGAATGTCTAGAATCAGTTTGCATCACAACAGATTTGTGGACTTCTAGATCTCAAGACGCATTCGTAGGTTATACCATTCAGTATATTGATCAAGATTTTAAGATGCATCATGTCACTTTGGACTGTGAGCCCTTTCCGGGAAAGCATGATTCTACAGCAATTTTAAAGAAAATTCATCAAAAATTAGAAGAACTCGATCTAGATTGTGAGATTTATATTGTCTCTGATAATGCCTCTAATATGGTCTGTGCTTTAGGAGTAAATAAAGGAAACGTAAATATGGATCTAGATCAATATGACGATTTGCAAAACATGAAATCGTGGTGTCATATTTTATGCTACAATCATACTTTCCAATTAGCTATTAGCGACACGAGAAAAGATATGAGAACTCAAACAGTCATTGAAAAAGTATCGAGAATGGTATCTCACTATAATCGAAGCAAAAATGCTAGGGAAAGTCTTGAACACTTTCAACAAGAGCATAAATTGCCACAACATTCTTTGCTTCAAATGGTGAGCACCAGATGGGACAGTGAATTCATTATGCTTGAAAGATTTTTTGAACAGAAGACAGCGATAATTAGTGAACAAAGCAAAGCTGGCGTAGATAGTCTTACCGTCTCCGAGTGGAAACTGGTGGAAGGTTATGTAGAGGTTTTGCGACCGATAGATAATTTTACCTCTGAAATGGGTAGTACAGAGAAGCCAACACTCTCCATGGTTTTGCCTGCATTATTTGGAATACAATCAACCCTAAAAGATTTTATTGGAAAGTCCAAAAAAGGCACTGGGATTTTATTTGCACGTAAATTGCTTAAGAATATTCTTCAAAGATTTCCAGACGAAGAGTATAGCAATTCTGTATTATACCAAGTCGCTACATTAATTGATCCGCGATTCAAGGATGCGCTGTGTGAGAAGTCTTCCAAAGTTCCGTCGCAATTGCTTGAAGAGGCGTGTTGGAAAAAGTCAGAAAATAGTGTGCACGACCAAATCAATAACACTTTCGTGTCGCAAAGTTCAACTTCTGATATTAATACTCTTGTAACTTCTACTACCGCTTCATTTAAAAGTAGACCGAAATGGAACCATCTTCATAAAAAGACTATGCCTAAACTTGTTACACAAGAGAATAAGACGGATGAAATAAAAAGAGAGGTTAGTATAATTCATATTGCAATAAGTACAATAAGTTTCAATAAGTTAAAAATAAAATTCTTGTATTACTTTCAGGTGACAGCTTATCTTACATTGCCTAATATCGGAGAGAACGAGAACCCCCTTGACTGGTGGAGAGCTAATGCTTCAACATTTCCAAAACTAAGCAAAGTTTCTAAATGTTACCTTGCTCTCGCAGCCACAGAGACATCGAGCGAAAGGGTTTTTTCTGTTGGTGGAAATATTGTGACAGATAAAAGAACTAACTTGCTTAGCCAGCACGTAAGAGAAATAGTATTTTGTCACGACAACTTACCTTAAAGTTTTAACATAAAAGAAATTTTTTCTAAATTTTAAAGATAAAACATATACAGGGTGTGGCTAAAGTATGGAAACTGGAATAATATAATATTTGTTAAAATCTGTATTTTGGAGCAAAATGTGAAATAAAAGTAATTATTAATAATATAACATATATAATTGTTAATATAATGTTTAAGAGGTTCCATACTTAAGACACTCCCTGTATATAATATACGGCATAATATACGGCATAACCAAATGTATGAGTCCATGCAAAACTTGTTTCTATGTTCTAATTGAATAATTTACTTATATATTTAATATATATGTTAATATTTGAAAAAATAAATATGTTTATATTTATATAATATAACTATAATGTTAACAATATTACTTTATTTAACAATACATTGATTCGAAATAAATTCGAATTCGAATCGCCTTTGGATTCGATTCGATTCGAAATTTTTCTATAAGATTCGATTCGATTTGAAGTAATTTTATCGGATTCGATTCGATTCGAGACCTAAATTCCTGATTCGCACATCTCTAATTTCCTCATGATATTGAATGCAAAACAGAAAAGTACACTATAATCGAAGCAGAAAACTACGAAAATTTGCAGCATATTTTACCTGTTCAACATGATGATTTATTAATTGTATCAGAAATATTTATTCGTGGCACATGTTATAAGCAAGGTTTTATTTTAGCAATACGCTACGAAAACGATTTGCCATTCTTTGGCGTTATAGAGACTATTATAACTCCTCAAGAAAAAGGCAATGCACAATTTATTTTAACTGCATTACATACTGTTGGTTTCAATTATCACTTACACTGTTACGATGTCACTCCGACACAAACGTGGTTTTTATCTTCATATAATGAAGTTTTGTCTTTTCACCCTTATTTCCTTCGCACAGGGGGTAATCGAAACCAATACATTAGTTTTAAACATTTATTGTACAAGATTTTCTAATTTTTAATATTATTTTAAGTGTCTTTTTTAATTAAATAAAAATATTTTAATTTTTTGTCCATACAATATTCTATTCCTCAAGTTAGAATATTTTATTCTTCAAGTTAGAATATTCTATTCTTCAAGTTAGAATATTCTATTCTTCATGCCCAAATATTATTATCGGTAGGTGAAGAATATAATACACTTCCCATTAGAATATATACTTGATCATTAGGTGAATCTCCTATAACATGTAGAATATATCCTTGGCACCTATTTTAGGGGGATGTATTCTTCATGTTAGTGGGAAATACTAAGTTTCAGTATATTATTTTTTCGGTATTTAGATAAAATTTTACATGAATAATTAATAGCAATTTGTAATAAATAACTCTGTTAATAGATCTATTGGATGTTCTCCTGATAGTCTTTTGTATGAAACCAATCAAGTAGGATTTCCTGATGAGAAAATGCACGAAAGACTAATAAAAATTGAACAAAACGAGAAAATTCGAAGCGAATTGCGAGAAATTGACAAAGAAATAATTGTAAAAACACAACAAGTGAATAAATGATTGTTTGACAAAAAACATAAAGCGCCTAAAAAATACCGAGAAGAAGATTTTGTTATGATCACCAATGTTGTTACTAAGATAGGTAAAAATCAAAAATTGTTGACAAAATTCAAAGAACCTTACATTGTTAAAAAAGTCCTGTGTAACGATCAGTATGTCATCGGAGATATTGACGGATTTTAGTTGACTGCAAAAGAGAAAACCACCTATGACAAGTGCATTCTCACGTGCAGGTTGTTTTTTGAATTGGTTTCATATTTTTTATATTTTGATGGGTTAAATCGCGGGGTCGATGAAGAGTCCCGTGTGGAAATTTGTCATGGAAGTTT